GKGAAAAGAACAGGCAGTGTTTTCTTACTCAGCACCAGATGACCACWTTTCCATGGCTGCCACCTAAATTTTGCTTTCTAGTATGATCTGGTGCAAGGTTCCCTTTAAAGCACAGCAATACCCTTCGAGCAACCTGGAGAGATCAAACAAAATTCATCTGATCCTGAGGAAAACAAAGAAAATTCCATTGCAACTGCRGCCCATGGGGCAATGAACAGCTGCCAGCCTGGATTAGCTCTGAACCAGACATTTCTAGRTAAGTGCCCTTAAAATAATAGTTTATAAGCTCCTATTCCTAAAGTATTAGGAAAAAACACATAGAAACAAATCCTAATTAATGGACCTCAAAGAATAAACTGGTACTTACTAGGCTTTGATGAGGAGCTTCTCCCTCTCCCGCAGTTCACGCTTCAGACTTTCTATCTCAACTTTTAGCTCAATGTTCTGTGACAAAAGAATGAAAATGTCTGGAGAGAACTGSAAGATCACCCAACCCAAAAGTTATTGGCATTGTGTAGATTACTTTTTGCTTGGACCAGCAAATATAAAGTATTATTGGGCTAAGAATAGACACTTAGCTGTTAAAAGACATATTTTGCAWGGTTCAAGCCTTCCAGAAATATCAAAAGCATTAAGGACCATTGCACTCMAGCAATACAAATCCCCTACACTGACACTTAACTGCTCTAATGGGCAGTACTGCACCTCAGCTTGGGAATTCCTAGGGCTTCCAAGCATGGTTTTTCTCTGAGCTACAAGGTATTTTCTTTTCTTTTCAAAATCTGATTTTATCAACTATAGAGATCTTTAATAATTTGCAAATTATTTTGTTATAGCCTGATGAAACCTCTCATAATGTAATTGTACAAAGAACTCCTTGGCCTGGAAGCTGACAAYACCATTTCAACAAGTCAGCAATCACAAAAAAAAACAGTGGAGGAGACCAGGCAGCAATATCCAGCTGAAACCACGATCTACCCAAACATCAGTTTATGCTCCTAACTACTGAAACATACATCAGAGAGACTCAAGTTTTCATCCCATTATGGAAAAGAATCCTGAGGCAAGTACATCTTAAAATGGTCATTTGAATTTAGTTATTATTGAACCTATTACTATATTAGTCCAGAATAAAATAATTACACCAAAATTCCCAATAATAAAAAAAGACTTAACTTTTAAGTGAAATAGACAATCTCCCCACAAAACAAACTCTTCAAAATGAGACACAGTTATAAGAAATTATTCTAAATGCCTACAATTTTGTAGATTTCTTCAGTGGGACCATCAAACTTCTGCTGCATTCGYTCCTCCAGAAAATAAATACGAAGCTTCAGGTTGAAGTTTTCTTTTTTCAGATCAGTGATTTGCTGTGAAAGAAGAAAGAAAACGAGAAAATTATGCCRTGTGTTTCAAATCAAGTAAAATAAAGAGTAGAAACTACTTTCCTTTGGTTTTGCTTTCAACAGTGAAAGACTGGAATTCCACCCACTGGACATCATAGTAAAATACACACATACATGCATGATACACACACACATGTTCAATTGTGAAGGTGTTAATTAAATATATATATAATACAGACTCTTGTGCCCTCTAGAATATTCCTACAATATCAAAATATTGACTGACTTCACACAAAGACAATCCAAGAGAGATTTTCAAATTTACAAATATTAAGGAATTCTTCTATAAGATATAACTTGAACAAAATACAAGACATCACACTGAAACAGAAATATTTTCTAAGCCAAAGCCTGGGAAGGAAGCCTCATTAATGGGATACAGGTAACTTTATCCAYAGGAAGAAAAGCCACAAGCACACAAGTGAGCCCAATTGAACACCACTAAAATCTTTATCTCATCCCATAATTCGTAAGGCAATTCTCTGGGGAAAAAATTGCTTCTCACTTTGAACCTTCCTTGTAGAAGCAGTAACGTGGCTGATGGTTTCATTAAAGAAAGGAGTGTCCCCCTAAATTTTTTTAAGAGACTCAGCATAAAACATTCATTCAAATAAGACTCGTGTCCCCAGCCAGATGCTTTCAGCAAATGGAAATCTAATATGTTACAGAGCTGCTAATAAAATATTGATGTGGSCTTTTCCAGAACAGTACAGTGCCATTTGTAAAAATTATTAGTGATAYAATTTTTAAAATATTTGGCTTGTGAAACCCAAGATTACTTTCTGTAACTGCACTCAGAACCTGCATCTGCAAACAATTCTTCAGTTTAATAATCCCTGCCCAGCAAGCTGCCTTGTCATTATTCACAMAAGTGAAAATCATCCAAGCAACTGAAAATCCTACATAAACTTTGTGGCTCATTCCCACACTCTGAAGCAACCTGTCAGAAGATCTTTCCCAGCAGTCTCTGCTCATTCAGAAAAAGTCCAAGTGGYAAAAACCCTCTGAAATGGTACCAGCTGAACTTCTAATTAGTCTCCATTCATTCAGTACATTTCTGAGTCAAAAGGAAAAAAATAGGTTCAAAAGAACTCAGCATTTCACAACTCTTGTCACATGTTTTTCAGTGGCAAAAAGATAAACCGAAGTGCTTAAGGGTAATATTTTCAAAAGGCAAATGAAACAGACTGTGCAATCATAAACCAATGAGACGAAACAAATGTCGTCTCTGATGTTCAGTTTCTTGGATGAAGGTTAGTTCAAGCAGACAATTTTAAAGTTATTGCTTAATAAAAGAAAATRCGGAAAATGTGAGCAAGTTCACACTGCAAAAAGACTTTAATGGCAACCCTCTGAACTCATGCATTTGAAGACTCAGTCTTAATTCCTTTATGCATTTTGATTTCTGTATTTAAACAAAGGAAATGAAAACCATGACAATGATATACACACTGCACAGAGTATTCCACAGCATGAACAGCATGGCAGCAAATCCCAGCTCAGATTAGTTCCTTTCCAAGTCTGCATAGAGCCAGTTTTGTGCAAAAGGGATCTGTCAGCAATGGCTGTGCTTTCACAGCACAACAGTTTTCAACAGCAAAGGCTGTTTTACATTTACAGCAAAACTCTTAAGTGGGTTTGGAGAGACAAGAAAGAAACCCACAAATATTATTACTCAGCTCCCTAACTTGACACCCATCACCCATTCTGTTCATGAACACCTAATAACTCATAACAAGGTCCTCCTTAGAGATGCTTTTCACTTTGCCCAAGCAATTATGTTTCCTATCACAGGATGGTTACCTCCATATTGCATCAAAGTGGGACACACCATAAATAATTCAAAAATCTGCACCTCCATTATCCAGCTCAGCACCTTCCCCAGGTACAAACATTAAAGGACCTTTCATACTTGGATCCACCTTTTAGCCCACTCAAGGGTCATTACATCCATCCTGTTCTGTCTGAGATATGGGGCCAGGAGCACACTCTTTTCATTACACCCTTCCCATATCCCGTATGAATAACAGAGCCATAGAAATATCTCTGAGCTTACTGGTGTTTAATGTATATTCCTACTTCACTTCCATAGATCTTTGAGCTTCATTACACTGCTGGCATCCATAAAAGTTCTCATCCCATGGGAAGTTTTACAGCTCAGTTTAACATGAGGATGCCAGAACTGTGGGGAGGCCCCTGCTCTGTATCACACAGGACAAACAGTAACATATTTTTCCTCCCTTCTGCAACTCCTTCTCCCGTGCCCAAGAACCCTGCAGATAATAAACACTTGAAGAATGTATATTCTGGACTGAGATCTTTGGCACACATCACAGMAAGAGATTTTAAGCACATACTAATGCCAAGGCAGTGTCTGTCTACCCCAGCCAACACACAGAAACAAAAGAGAAAGGGAAATAGATATAGACYGAAAAAAAATCGTTTGCCAAGGTTTTCCAAAACAAGCTTTAAATTCTGAGCAAAGAGCAGWGCTTTCCCCTCAGGGCAGGATATAAGGCCACGAGAAACTGAAAGAGTTTATAAGAAACACTCACTTCAAACACAGCAATGCCACAAAAGGTAACAGCAGYAACTGCAGACACTTGGCACAGCCCAAAGGCAGCAGCCACAGCCTTTATCTGTAGCAATCATCTCAGAGATTTGAGATTGCTTTCCTCTCTAAAGCTTCTTTACACAACAAGAAATGTCTTAAATTTTTTCACCCTAGTTCTCAGTGGGGAAGTTGTCCTACAACACAGCTAAACCCCAATCAAATCATCACAGCATATACAAACAACTGGTTTATTCAACTGAAAAAACTAATACAGTTGGTATATTTTTTATATTTCCCTTAATAAGGAAACTAATAGTAAGTGCCAAAATACTTTTATCTACAGAATTGTCACAATGATACTACACTTTTACAACACAAGCAATCCTAGCACACTGATACATAACTACAAACTTAAAAGGCATTATACTGCAGTCAATGAATTAAAAAGCCAAATCCTACACTAGCCTAAATGAAAACAAACTCGATGCTTCCCTGACATAAATCAGCAGCAGATGTGCAAACCAAGTTCTGATGTTTCTGGTGAGCTGCAGGAACTTTTGAGCAGAGGGTGCCAATTTTGTTTCACAGCTTAAGCACAGCAATGGCTCTTCTCAAATTCCTGCTTCGGGTATTGAAAGCAACACTAGAGAAATAAAAGTTCAAAGCAYGGACAGGGACATTCACCCAGTCACACCTCCAACAGATGTGTATCAACTGAYAGAAACTAAGAGTCAACACTTCAGCCAGAGTGGTGGAAATATCTTGGCCATAAATCTGTCACTGAGTCTTACATTAAAAGTTCTGCTTACATTTTCATAGTCCTTCATGGTCCGAGCTCGAGTGGGTGACACTGTGTCTTCTGCCACATCTGGTGACACTGGACATTGAGGAAGACAGAACAAGTTCAGACAGCAGAATCTCTCTAAGTAGGGCTTCAATTTGGCAAAGGTCTACACTACTGTAAACATGACAAAAACTTTWGGGAAGTGAGGGAGGCATTGCCTGGCCCCCTGTTTACTTTACACGTTAGTATCTAAATTTCTTTCCGACCACAATAAACTGTCTATCACTTAAGCTCCCAAATTCCACCACCCGTTTCAATTGTGATGTACACTGAAATTAGGCTATGTAAGGWGCACTGTCAAGGATAAACCCTCAGAGCAAGAGCTGGATGATGCACAGCGCRCAACTTCCCCAACCCTGAGCAGAACGCGAACGGGCAGCACGGCTGGATGTTCCAAGTATTTTAAGTACACGCTCCACAAAACCGCTGATCATCTTATGTAAGGCTGAGAGCCCTAATGACCGCAGGCAGCCAGCACACAGCAGTGACGGCAGCTGCTGCCGGCGCTTCGTGGTCCTAAAAACTCTTAAATGACAACAAAAAAGCGCATCACTTAAAAGCCCCTTTTTTTTTTGCCTTTTTTTCCGCAAGTTTTCCCGCAGGTTTAGAGACGCGCGAAGCACCGAGCCGGGGTAGCGGTGCGCGGGCTGCGGCCGCGGTCCAGCCTTACCTTGTCCGCCGGGCGGGTCGGGCCGGGGGTCCCCGCGGGAGATGTCCGGCAGCGGGAGGCCGCTGACGCTGGGGAAGGAGGAGGAGGAGGAGGAGAGCGATGAGGAGCGAACGCGTGAGGGGCTCGCCCCGCTGACCCCCGCCCGCGGCCGAGCCACAGGCCACACGCCCCCGCGCCGCCCGAGAGCATCCCCGCCCCGCAGCTCGCCCCGTACCTGCCCTCGAACGGCAGCGTCAGGTCCTCCCCCGGCAGCGAATCCATGGCTCGGCCCCGCGGGTCCCGCCGCTCCCGGCGCCTTTGTGCGCGGATTTGGCGGCTTCCCTGGAATTCAAACGCCCGCAACCGCTTCCGCCATCTTTGCGTCGAGCGCGGTGAAGCCGCTGAAGCCGCTGCGGACGCGCGCGGAGGGCGGGCACAATGGAAACTGAATGGGAGCCGCCATGTTTGATAAGGGCAGCTGGCAGGGCTGCGCGGGCGGGCGCCATGTTGGCTGAGGGCAGAGCGGGGCGGGTGCCGGGCGGGCAAAGGGGGTCAGAGCGGCCGGGCGCCATGTTGAGTGAGGGAAGGGGCCCGTGTGGCGGCCGGGGCTCCTGAGGGGACGGCGTGGGAGCGGGGATGGGGTGATCCCCGCCGCTCCACAGCCCCGCTCCGAAAGTATTCCCGTTTGAAAGATGCTTTTGCGRGGATGCGCCAAACCCCCGGGCTCCTGCCGAGCCTGGCAGAGCCGCTGGAGCTGATGTTTRTTTACCATGTTCCCCGCGGCGCAAAGCCGTCATTGGACTTGRCGGAAGAAATAAACACGCGTTAGTTCCACATTCTGGGCATTGCTCACCGTAGCGGGCAGGGTGAAGGCTGCTCTGTCACCATCCGCGCAGGCCAGTTTTCAACCAGTCTCGGGTTTTTTTTTTTGTAAAGCAAAGTTCGGCTCTCTCATTTTTTGGGAGAAAAAATGCAATTACACTGCGCATTTCAGAGCATCGACAGCGGGAAATGCTGAACTGAATTAAACGTTGTGGCCCCTCCTACACGGGGCACGGCCAGGGTGACAATGCCGGTCACAGGTGGAGCTACAGAGCCCCCCTTGCTGAGCATCTTTGTCCTTTTTTGATTCATTCGGAACCTGTGTGCATGAATGAAACACCTTCTGGTAATCTTTACATCATCACAGAGTCACAGAATTATTTAGGCTGGAAAAGACCTCTGAGGTATGGAATCCAACCCTTGACCAACCCTCACATTGTCACCCCAGAGCAGAGCACTGAGAGCCACCTCCAGGGATGGRGACTCCAAACCTCCCTGGGCAGCCCCTGCCAATGTATAATCACCTTTTTTTTTTGTTAAGAAATTCCTCCTGATGTCCACTGACCCTCCCCTGGCCCATCCTGAGGCTGTTCCCTCTCCTCCTGTCCCTGTTCCCTGGAGCAGAGCCCGACCCCCCCGGCTGTCCCCTCCTGTCAGGGAGGTGTGCAGAGCCACAAGGTCCCAAATGATCCCCCTTTGCTCCAGGCTGAGCCCCTTTCCCAGCTCCCTCAGCCGCTCCTGGTGCTCCAGACCCTTCCACAGCTCYGTTCCTTTCCCTGGACATGCTCCAGCCCCTCAATGTCCTTCTCGCAGTGAGGGGTCCAGAACTGGACACAGCACTCAGGGTGCCTCACCCGTGCTCAGCACAGGGGGACAATCATGCCCTGCTCCTGCTGGCCACACCATTGCTGGTACRGGCCAGGTGCCAGTGCCCTTCTTGCCCACCTGGAACACTTGGCTCCTGTTCAGCCACTGTCAACCAGCACTCCCAGGTCCTTTTCTGCTGGGCCACTTCCAGCCCCTCTTCCCACAGAGTGCATGGAGCATCCARTGGTGCCTCATTCTGGGACTTGTTCTCAGCGTTCTCTGTAACACAAGGACACTCGCCTGGCTCACCCACAGGAGTGACCCTGTGCATTAGATTTGGTTTCCTCTTCTGGATTTGGTTTCCTCTCTGGTACCAACCCAGATCAGGTTTCACTCACTTGCCTCTGGGCTGTCTCAAGGGGACTCTCACCTGGCCAGGAATTAGGCCACAGATAAGGGCTGACTGCAGGTGCCATGAATTCAGTAAATTATTCCCAGCTGTCCTGGAGCACTGTGAGCTCYGTTTCCAGTTCAGACTGATGCTGTCACCTGTCAAATGCCCCAGACTGGTGGGAGCAGCCCCTGCAGCCCTACATGTGTATGGTCATGGTGAGCTTCCAATCCCTGCTTTATTCTATCAGCTTTATGGGTACAAGTGCACGATTGAGCTGCTGTCAGAACCCCAAACTGCCAGGAAGGGGCAGAGTTAGCACAACTTAGCACAACTAAGCTCTTAATCCTGTCCAATTGGACACAGCCCATGCTTTGCATTGGGGGTCTGATGACCCCAAGGGATATTTAGTCCTTTCAGCTCCCCARTGAGAGACCTTGAGAGACATTGGTCACCTTATGTGACTGAAATCCTTTTGCAGKGGCCTCTGCCAAGCTGAAATTAAGTTCACAAAATCGGGTCTGCCATATGGCACCAGGATCTGATCAGCCAGGCTGAAATGTGGCTTTTCCTCATTTACAGTGCAGATCTTCATAAAATGAGTAAGTCCACTCACTGGAAGGATAATACCGATTTGCTCTTGTTTAAGGTTTTAGTGAGGTGTTACGTGTTTGATGCAGGTCTCTAAATCAGCATCCATCAGCCACAGGTGCAGTGTAAATCACTCTGCACACACAGCACATGTCTGCAGAGCCACAGCTACACCCTGTTTTCAAAAGGAAATCAGCAGGTCCCTCCTTGTGATGTTTATTGCTTCATTAAATGGTCTGATGGCCTAAGATACGGCTATATAGAGATATATCCACGTCAGTCCACTTCCCTGGAAGTGTCCAAGGCCAGGCCCCACAGGGCTTGGAGCAACCTGGTCTAGTGGAAGGTGTCAAAATGAGATGATCTTTAAGGTCCTTTCCAGCCCAAACCATTCTGTGGTCCTATGATCCTATGCTCRTACACACAGCCAGGATGGAAAATTTCCCTGGGAAATTTTACTGCACTGCCCAATGTTTTAAAACCTGCAGTAGCACCGAGAAGCTCCAAGGGGCAGAAAGAGCTGGGAAAGTGTTGTTTAGAAGCAGTTAACAACTTGCCTTTGCATAATCTGCTTAACATTGTTTAACCTTAAATTCATTAGTAGCACATTTGGGGAGATTACACTAAATCCTYGTGCCAGGAAGCCAAGTTGGAACTTTCCTACTTCACAAAGCAGCCTGAGATCCTTCCCACCTCAGCAAGAGARCCCTAAAAGGGGTCTGGGAAAGAAGGGTTCTGGTGAGTAGGGCTGAGCTGAGCGGGATGGGAGCCAGCTGCTCGCTGTGCTGTGCTGGCACAAGGAGGGTGGGTGGCACTGCCAGCTGAACATGGGGCACCCTCACCCTCCTGTTCTCACCCTCCTGTTCTCACCCCCTACCCTGGGCACCCGGTGCAGCACTCACTCCTGCCTCCTCCTCGTCCAGCTCACAGCAAGGTTCCTCCAAGTTAAGTCATCCACAATCCAACTGCTCTGCTAATGCAAATCAGGTCTCAATATAACTCCCTGGAATTTCACCAGTGCGGCCTTTACTTACTCAGCTCTGTCAAACATTTGAATGAACACTTAAACCCRCGTGTTCACTGAATGTATGAAGCCTTACCTCTCCCAAGTTCTTTGTTTAGTAAGGGCTGAAGAGTCAGACACAGCTTTTAAATAAAAGAGCCGTTAGCAGCTGTATTTGCAAAACAAAAATCAATTTCCTAACACTGCCAAGTGAGAAGGAAATGCAAGTTTTCCACAGGCCCTTCTGCAGACACTCCCAGAACTGATGCCACAGATGTGGATTTCAGAGTATCTGTAACAAAAATGGCCTTTGAAAGACATCTGTGGTCATGAAGAAAAATCTGATACAATATCCCCATCCCGTTTGCAGCTTTGCTCAGAGGGTTTCCTTGTCAGTGACTCACAATCTCTGACAAAATGTGTCCATGTGAATGATACAGAAAACAGTGGGAAAACAGCCATTGCCTGTGGGGCTCCCAAACACAACTGAGGGCTGGCATGGTTCAGAGCAGACGTAAGAGATCAYAGGGCTCATTTTTTAGCTGGATTATCCAACCCAGAATGTCAACTGTGCTTATGAATATCTGATGTTAGAAAACATTTTTGGGCCTTGGTTCCCATCTAGCATACAGGGGCATAATGAAGGAATAATTCTCTTGGAACAAATGTTATTACTGGGATGAGAGTGGATTCAATCCTTTCTGTCACTGGAAARACTCTTGCTGAAATTCAATGAACAAAAACACAAATGCAAAAATCCAAGTGGCATAGATACAAATTATATACATTTATTTTTATTCATTTTAAATAACATTCTTCTGTATAAATTCTGACATATATTCAAATCATACACTTTTTTTCTTTTTAGAAATGCATTTGTAAGCATAGCAATGCTTGGGAGATGCCATATTTGGATGTAGAGTGAGACTGATGGGTTTCAGTTGGGAGCAAGTWCAACTTTTAAGGCCCACATTTTTCTTATTTTAATCCATTCCTCTGACACATWAAGAGCAGAGTCCTGTGGGAGCTCATTCTAAAACTTCACTTGAAAGAGAAAACTATTTTTATATCCTTTATTTAAAGGAGACTGTGCAAACTTTCTGCCACATTTACATTGCCCGTAACATTGACGATGCTGATGCTGCACAGCAGTGGTTAACTGGCCCAGGATACCTGAAGGATGCTGGATACATCCCCTCCTCTCTCCTAAATGCTTGCTAAGTCTGCTCAGCCTGGTCCRAGGGAATTATCATTCCAGTGGCTGACATCTCCTGACAGCTCCCCAGGGCTAGTGCTCCTCGTAGCTATTTCCAGCTACAGTGGCTCATGAGATTCGAGATCATCTCTCCTCATTAACCCAAACACTCTTSTGCACATCTGTTGGCCCCTGTTCTCACCAAACGCTCCCCAAGCCGTGAGCCCTCCAGGCTGCCCCATGCCCTGCCCCACCCCAGCTCTCTGCCCTTTATCTGTTCATTCTCTCCTCTTGCCTTTACTGCCGAGCTGGACCTGCCCCAGCCAGACCAGCCCAGGATTGTGCCTGGAGCTGCTTTCCCACATCCACCCACCACCCTGCCCTGTCACAGCTCCTCTCTGCMCTGTCACAGCTCCTCTCTGCCCTGTCACAGCTCCTCTCTGCCCTGCAGCTGCTGCCCCGTGCCAGGAGTGCCCTTTTCCATGACAGCCCCACCCCGCAGCTGGACAATGTTCCCAGGCAGAAGGTGCTGCAGGTGCCCATCAGCAGTACCACGTGTTCCTGTACTCCCACCTCAGCCYCAGAAATCACCCAGATGCCCTCCCCTGGCCTCACTGACTGCTCAGCTGGGCCTCAAAGCAGCCCTGAGAGTCCCCTTCTGATTTACCTGACCTTACCCCAACCTCAGGGCACAGCTCAGCCTGGGAAGCCTCGTGACAAGCARTGACAACACATCATGGTCCTGGTGGCCCTCAGTACCCTGGCACAGGCATTTGAGCTCTGCACCCCTCCACWCCCAATCCAACCCAAGGTGACTGGAGACAGAACCAGCTCAGCTTCTTCCTCCCCTCCTGTAGTGCCAGGGGAAACTGCACAATTGATAAGAGCACAGAGGATCTGATCTCACAGCACCAAAGGCAAACATGAAGCTGTTTATTCTTTGCCTGCTGAGGCATCAGTCTCCTGTAAGTGCTGTTCCTGTGTGCCAAGGCCTGGGTGGCAGGAGGTGGCTGCTGTGTCCCTGCTGAGTCATTCTGCCATCTGACAAGCACAGTGCCAGCGCCACATCYTCGCTGTGCTCCCTGCTCAGGAACATCCTGTGCCATCCAAATCTGGGCAGCCAGATCCCCCCTGCCCAACCAAGCTTCCCATCACATCTGCCAGGCTGTCTCCATCCCTTCATCCAGACGGGCAGCAGCTGTCCTGCCCTCCCCTGCAGCCTGGCTGCAGGGCATCCTGACCTGCTCCTCTTCCCAAACACCAAGTCTTTGGAGGACTTTGGAGGTCAGAAGCAGCCCAGGTGCCAACACCTCCTGTGCTGTGGCAGGCAGGGACTGGGAGGGCTCGGCACCTGAGCCCACGATCTGCTTGAGCAGATGGTCCTTATTTCTACAGTGAGACAAAAATCCAAGCCTGTTCCTGTTATAAAGCAGCCCACAGTCATAGCAAAATTTAAGGGAGAGGTGTTCTGTGGCAGAAATAAAAAAATCTACTGAAGTATTTTAGAAACATTAAAGTGAACAATCTGTCCTTCGTTTAGCTTGCTAGCATCAGTCCCAGAAGCCAACACTTCCTATATTACCTTTGCCCACCCCATGAAGTGACCAAGTGCAAGTGTATCGCTAGATCAGCACCTCTAAATAATTACAACTTTTAGGAATTTTTTTTTTGTCACCACCCTGCTCTTTAGAAGTTTGATCAGTAACTCGAGGATCAGCAATATCCAGATTTTCTCCTCCAGTCCTCCCCCGTTTCATAACTAAAAGTAATATTGCTCTGAATGACATGAGCCAATCTTCATATTACCTAAAGTTTAGGACCTCACCCAGGCCCACCACAGGCAACAGAAGCTTTTCCATCAGCTTTTTTCCATCAKCTTTTTTCYATCAGCTTGTGTATGCAATTCCACATTCTGCACTCAACATTTCTCTTGGTCATCCTCAACTATTTTCCTTCTGACTTGCCATGCCTTATCTTTACAGCAGGCAGCAAGTATTTGAGGCAGAAATGGCATCTTTGAGCACATGTTTGAATCAACTACTTCCCCCTCCCCCCAAGTTTCCAAAGATAAGAAAAACCTCCTCACAGCACCAGAAAACAAATAAATAACCCCCATGTTCCCTCTTCCTTTCTCATCTGGAGACATATCCACTTTTGCCTGGTGCTGAGGACGCTTCCAGCACCTCGTGCATCCCCACTGCCCCACCACACACAGCCTTTYACCTTCTGAGCCTCAAAGCACAGCTCTGCTCCTGTGAGCTCTTCATCTCAAAGCCGTTCCCACCCCAATCCAGGAGACCTTTGCTTTTGCCCCTCAGAAGGCCAAGGGGGCTGAGCTCAGTCCCCAGCACATSCCCCTGCCTTGTCAGCTCAGCAGGGATGGCAATGGGATCCCTCCACATGATGAGAGAACCTGGGAGAACCTCAGCCCCAGAGCCCAGGCTCTCTGTGTTCGTGACAGTGAATCTRCATTTTGTATAGAGACTTAAAAGCAAGGAATAGATTGGTGCATCCAATTYTTGGACACCTACTCAGCCCTAGTCATGGCAACACTGGTATTCACTCTGTATTTAAAGGAATGGCAACATTTGACAGATGCAAGTAGGGAGCACTCACATTTTTTTCTAAAAAAGAAAGTTATTCAATGATAGTGGAAGAAAAGCTTTAAGCAGTCGGTGTTTGCTAGAGGCCCAGCTCCAACAATATTGCCATCTCATTTACAGTATTTTAAACAATCCTCATGTTTTTTTCTTTTTTTAAACAACATCACTARCCGCTGTACAGTTAAAACCTAGAGGATAAAACATGACCTAGGGAGTGGGGGAGGTTGGGGAGAGGGGCTSATGGTTTTGTTGTTGGGGGTTTTTTGGTTGGTCAGTTGGTTGCTTGTCTTTTTTACAAATAATTACAAATACAATTCCAAGAAGATATATTACATTTTATATACAGAACACACCATTTCTATCAGGGTAGGGTATTGAGCCTGGCTTTTATTTTTACATGGCAACCCTGAGATGTCTTGTCRTCTTCCCTTGCACAGAAACTATACAAGTTCATTAACTCCTTCTACAAAAAAATGGATTGCTATGTTTCAATAGCATCATCACCCTGTATAAATACTCAGAAAGGGAAAAGCTTAGTCTCCTCCCTAACTCAAATGTTCTCATGKTTTTTTTCCTGATTCCCTGCTTAGTGGGAACAGGTAATAGTAACTTTTTTCAAGTGTGCAACTCCTCTACTTGCCTTTTGGTAGTACAGTGAACAATCACTTCCCTTTTTTTTTGTCCTCCTTTTTGAACTAATTTCTATCAGGAACTAATATGATGCCTTTCCAAAGATCTGTTTCCTGAAATTCCACTGTTAATTTATGAGCTACCTCTCAAACTAAAGGATGACGACACAAGTGTTGGGTTGGCTGGAAACCAAGTAGCTTCTGATTCTCATCCGGTTCTGCTCTCTCCACCCCACCACCTCTTCATAAAATGTTTTCAATTCAGCACAATCCAGTTTATAACAACAGTGAATTCTATGGATCTTTATGGAGAACGGGACACTGAATGCATTTCACCACATTACCTGAAATTCAGATGTACTACACTGTCTTCTGTTCACCTGCAAGCTACAGCACGCCCAGCACCAGAGAGTATCTGAAGAGCAAATTCCTCTGTGTGGAGCCTTGGCCTGGATCCTGATACCCCTTCCACAAGCCCTGTAACTTTTTGAGAAGCAAACTTTGGAACAGCTGGATGACTTCTAAGCTTTATAATTATGCATGGGAGTCGTCAGCGTGAGCTGTCCATTGGGGGCCACCTCATTGCCATCATCTTCCAGCAGCCCCGACACGTCAGCGTTGGGAATGCTGTCGTGGTAGCTGCTGAAGCTGATGTTGTCCTCTTTGAGTTCAATGGTCCAAAAGGGAGCGTTAAGTTTTCTGTTCTGATACTCACGGTACATGTAGACAGCACCCACAAAGCCCATTAGTAGGACCACAACGATTATGATCACTGTCAAAATAATAATGTTAAACTGAGTCCATGAAACATCTGCGAAAGCAGAGGTGCTGTTGTCAGAGGAGCTTATAGGAAATAGTGTCTGTAGAGTTGTTGGTGACAAAGTGCTGTTCAGCACTGCCGTGGAAAAGGAGGTGGTCTTGGTGACATTTGGAGCAGAAGTTGTCAACTCTGTTGGTTCTGGGCCAAGAGTGGCTTCTACAAAACAAATTTTAAAAATTATCATAAAAATCTATAAGCTTAAATTCAAACACAAACATAAGAGATTTGACATTTATATCACAAGYATTATGGCAATTAAGGGTACACTATTAAAACATATTTTTTCAAAGCAGTTTAGAAAAAGGTTGCCAAGGGTTGTGTTTCAGGTATTTTTTTATACAATTCTCTGTGCTGAGTGTCCATGGGCTACAGCATTCCTCTGCAAAGTCTGGTGCTGGAGGGACAGGTGCAGTAGTCTGGATTCAGTTCAATACAGGAGCTCATGATGASACCAAGTCCCCCAGTCCAGCTCCACCAGCCCAGGAAAATGGGGCTTTACCACACTCGGCAAGTTTGGACTCTGAACCAACGTGTCCCTTGCTGTCTGCACACTCAGACACAGCAACTCCAGGAGCTTAAACCCTTCACAGTGTGCCACATGCAGCATTTTGTTCACAAATTTTCCACCCGACTTGTACAAACAAGATCAAAACTGAAAAACAGAACCACAAGCATTCCACTGTCCCAGCATTCAGCAGCAGGTTCAGTGTTTGCACYGCTTTAGGTAAAAGGGCAACATAAGCTCAGTTCTGCATTCAAAGGAAGTTGTACACAAACCACATGGAAAGCCCCTGTCTGCACAGCCAGAAGCAGAAGGTCACCAAATCACAACAAAAGAAAAGACTGGAGGTTCTTCAGAAGCTTTTGAACACAGCAGAGGCCAGTTGGGATCCTGCTTTGGTTTCAGATGTGCATACAGGAAGGATGAGAACATGGGAGTAACCAGACTGTGCTCTGCCTTCTCCTTGGCACTAAACAGCCAAGAACCTGCCCTGCTTCCAGCAGCCATGGGATAACTCCTTTCTCAGTTCAGGAGTTGAGTTAACCTTGAGATCTCAGAAGTGAGATGCAAATTCATTCTGCAGGCATCAAACCTGTTGAGCTCCAGGCTTCTGAGAGCACCATAAATCCAGAGTATTAAGCTCACAAATGTAGCTAATAAAGCACTTCCTCACATGAATAACCTGATCTATTTTAGATTCTCAAGTCCAGGCAACAGGAACACTCCACAAGCTGAAGCCTCAATYAGCCACAATGTTCTCTGTACCTATTGCTCCACAGGATTCTCTGCATCCTCTTTCCTACTCTCTTCCTGCCAAGAGAAAAGCAACTTCATTTTAAATCCACATACAGCTGCAGCAATTACAGCTGACGGTGCCATGCTGTATGGATCCAGCTCTCCTGAACATCTACTAATTATGATTGAGGGGGAGAGTCACTTCCGAAGGACTAATTTTGCACTAAGTTGCATCTCCAACGGCAACAGGAGCTGGAAATATTCAGCACATGTACTGCCATGGGCCCTCAGGGGAACTCCCACAAGTTAACTTCAGGCTGTCACATTCCCAGTTCAGGCAGCAGAGAAAAAAATTCCTCTGGAAGGGGCATCACACATCTAATTGAGGTTCCTGCTCAGAGTCCCCTCCCTGCAGCAGCTCCTCTGTTCTCTCTACAGGTCCTGCCTTAGGCTGATAAGGACACTCAGGATGCTGAATGCTAAAAGGCATTTCTCTATGGGATAACGGGCAAAGTTTTGCAATAGGAAGCAACACAACAGGCGCAAAAGGTTCCTGGAAAACCTTTGACTTTGGGGAAAGGGCATGAGGAATTCAGTCATCCTTTCCAAATTCCTTCATCAACACTCAATCCCTCTCAAACCCTGCCAGTAGGTATAAGTAGAGAAAAAACAGAACCGAGACAATGGTTGATTCACAGCAAGGAAACAGCACTTTTCTGGGCTTTATTTGTGAGTCAGCATCAGCTCAGAGCTGGCACAGAGGCTTTGGGTGAAGACATTTCCTGGCTCTCCCGGGAACGTCACGGTGAAGTGCCGGGCTCTGGCCCCGGCGCCGCTTCCGGGCCRTGACACGGCGCTGCCTGTTCCGCCRGCGGGGCCGTGCCAGCTCTCCAGATGTCCCAGAGCAGCTCCTTGAGAGCGGCAGCTGCTCCCTCAATGGGCTGCTTTGGCAGCTCTGACGGGAGCCTCAGATCCAGCTGCTTGATTGAGGCGCTGGCTCTGCTGCTGCCTCCCACAGTGGAGCAGCTCCGTGCCCGGGGAGGCTGCGGTGCTCGGCTGGGTGGCACAGAGCCACACTGCACCAGCACCGAGACCCTGCTGTGCCTCACCATGGCAGCAGGAGCACCACCCTTCTGGGGCTGGAAACACTCACTTTGGTCCTTWGAATAGCCTCTCCATCCGCCTTGAGAGCACCAGAATCCTGGTAAAGTTTAAGGCTCTGGATATGTGGGCTGGACTGAGCTTTGCCCAGGCTGTACAGAAGCTGCTGCCTCATTTCACCTGCAGCCACTGAAACAGAGCCTGGGTGATGATTTCACTCCAGACACCACTCAAATGCACTGGTGATTTATGAAAATCTTAACCTAATACAAGTTAATGCTCAGTAACCTTYGCATGTCAGCTTTTAGGCAATTTTTGTGTAAGGAACTGGAAAGAAGCTGCACATCTTTTTAAYTGCTTAATAAAAAAAGGGGAAACATAAGTGTCAGGGAGAAAGAAAAGCTCCAGGAGCATGTCCCAGCCCTCTGGAGAGCGGACAGGCTTTCCCCACATCAGGAACTGGCTATAACAATGCCATTGAAATAAAACTGAATGGGGAAAACTGCAAGTASACAAGCAAAGCCATACATATGAATTTCAATGGAGCAAGGTCATGCGGATCCTTGCACAAAGCCAGAGCTGTGCAGGGGGAGGTAATGGATGAGCTGATGCAAAAATGCCATTTCCAGCCCTGTTACAGCTAATGAGCATCCAACTTTGTTGTATTGATCATCTCCCTGAGCAGAGAAGGACTGTGTGATTGCACACCCAGAGAGCAGCACAGGAGTGAAAGCCACATTAGCTCCTGATGGAAGATCTGAATTGAATCTCTGCCCATGACAAGGACGAATTTGTGCCCAAATACTTCCCTGAACTCTGGGCTCTCTCATCTCATCCACCACACTGGTAATGTTTCTGTGCATGGCGTTGGAGATCCACCATGAGRACCAACCTCCAGATAACCACTCAAGGAGCAACTTCAGAACCATTTTCTCTCATTCTACATCAAATACACTGCAAATACATTGGGTTCTTCCAGCTTGTTCACTAGCAGAGTCTGGCAGGGTCTGGAATGAGGCTGGTTACAGAGTTAACTCTAAACTTCAAGGCCAGTAGGCACCAATGTGTTATAAAGATCTGATTTTCTTCCCTGCACCAGAGGCCAGATAGAGTTAAATTAATGTGAAAACCACTAACATCACTCCCTCTCCAGCCTTCAGGAAGCTTCAACACAARCCTGAGCAGCATTTCTTACCTTTCCTGGTGCAGTTGGTGCCCTCAGCATCCCTGCTGTAGCCCTCCTCACACAGCTCACAGTGGAAGCCCGTGGTGTGGTAGAGGCAGCCGATGCACTCGCCGGTGTCGGGCCGGCACACGCTGGGGGACAGCACTGGCTCCACGTTCCCGTTGCACCTGCACCTCACACAGATGCTGTCCGAGTTGTAGTAGCCCTTGTCACACTGGTTGCAGTTGAGGCCAGTGTAGCCCGGCCTGCACTTGTCACACCTCGGGATGGTCTCGCCGGGCTCTGGGGAATGCAGAAAGCAAAGCAGGGATRGGCCACAGCCCCTTGTAGGGATACCTGAACTGTGGGCTTTGTGCTTTGGGACCTGACCACAAGGCACCCCCACAAAAATCAGTAGCCACTCCATCCACACCATCCCAAATTTTGAGCTGCTCCCTGAGAGCAGTTTCTCTGTTACCAGGGGAAAAAACAGCTTTGGGGAATTCTCATGCCTTGTCCCAGCTCCACAGAGCACGCTCAGCACGTTGCTAAGGAAATAGATGATTGCTCCTGAACATTTCCATCTCAAACAGGCAATTTCAGAGAACAGCTGGAACTATATCAGAAATGCYTGCAACCCGTGAGAACTTTTGGGTCCATACAAAGCCAGAGGCAGCTTGCTTGCAAAATTGATTCGGGAAATACAAAAAAAAGTCTTATGTATGATTATTACATAATCTGGCTTCTCTCGGTTACATTGGGAAATCTCTGCCTGGAGTGCCATGGAGATGTTCAGAGCAGACTCAGAGGTAGGGAGAGCTACATGGCACTGCTGAGCACCTCCTACCCCTCTCCTGCCCCTCTCCTGGCTCAGCAGCTTCTCCCTGAAAACTCTGCAGGTTCTTCAGAGCAGGCTGCAGCACTGGGAGATGGAATTAGACTGAGATCCCTTCCAAGCCAAACCATTCTGTGATTCTGATCCCTCCCCTGCACAACTGCTCTCACAGGAGGCAACAATACAAGCACCAGGGACCCAGTGCAGCAGGTGCTGCTTCCAGTGCCACAAACAGGAGCTCCACAGGCTATAAARCAGCTCCCAGGGCTGACACACTGAGGGGCAACTGAACTGAACTGAGTGACCTCAGTGTAAGGAATTAGACCAAAACAAGAGCCTCACCTATGTGGCAGGTGCCAGTGGATGCCACGATGGAGCAGGGGCAGTGCTGGCAGCCGCGGGTGGGATGGGTGCTCCGGTAGAAACCCTCCTTGCAGAGCTCACAGTGCTTCCCCTCGGTGTTGTCCTGGCACTCCAGGCAGGTGCCTGYGGAGGGGAGAGGAGAACAAGCAAACATTCAGCAGCAGGAACTGGAGCAGAACATTTGGAGCAAGAATCCATGTGGAACACACTCAATTATCAGAGCTCACAGGTGGTTTTGGATGCCCTCTGGGCAAAATATGATCCTGGCCTCTAATGACCTTCTGATGCTCATCCCCTCGCTCCACACGTACACAGACCATGTGAAAAAGCAGGTGGCCCAGCAGAGAGGCCCCACAACTCACCACAAAAAGGTCACTGAAGGTAAACACGAGTTTCAGTGTTAAATCMTCCTCAAGGAAAGCAGTTCCAGTTTGCATTTGTACCAATGAGATGGGATGGTGATGCTTCAAGTCACTCACTCTCACAAGGGGTCCTGTCAGTTTTTTTGTGAGCAGCCTCCTCCTGTACCCAGAGCTGGTGGTCAGGGGTGGGGATGTGCCACTGTCCTGMTTTGGGGACAGACAGCTCCATCCCACCAGCGTGGCTCCAGCTCCTGCACCCCAGGACAAGGCAGCAGCAGTCACTGACCTTCCCAGAGACACAGAGGAGAAGTGGGGGCTCACTGAACCACCTGCCCTTCCCGGGGAAGCCCCTGAATCAGAAAATCGACATCCCGTGTCTTCACAGACACCGTGTCCTAATGGCCTCCAAATTGCATTTTGATACTACTGTGACCAAGAAGAAAAATCTCCTTCGTTACAAAAGCACARCCTCTATCCAAAGCCCATCCATCACCAGGAGCACACTGTAATTCAGCTAGCTCCTCGGTRAGGTGGCAGGGAGCTGAGGGAAGCTTTGATTAAATCCCCTGTTCCASACTCTGCAAAGGCAACAGCCCCTTCTGCAAACCAGGGTAGCACAGACAGACCCACCCAGCTGATCCAGCAGCACTGCTGGGGGATGGAAAAGTCTCATATCAACATCAACCACAGGAAAAAATCCTGATTGAGGTTTGTGCTGACTGTTACAAAGCCCACAGCRGATTTTCTTATTAATATCAGAACAGTTTGGCTCCCTCACAAGGCCCGACACGGCTCTTGCTCCTCAATTCCTCCACAGTGATGACTCTGCAGCCAAGCATCCCCAGCCAGCCTGGCGTGTCCTTGCAGCCAACCCTCGTGCCAGGGGCAGGAAGCAGATCTGGGAAGGGCTGATTCACCCAGCCAGAGGGCCCTGCCAGCACCCCTCGCTCAGCATCAGCTCCCACAYGCTGTTTGCTCTTCCCTCGGCAGCCTGTCAGGCACGAGCCAGTGGTTTTTGTGGGAGAGATGGCAGGGATAGAGGGGAAAATCATCTGCTGGGCTTGGTTTGTTCAGCTGCAAACCTGGATCAGCTGTTGCAGTGGGGTGGATGTCTTGGGTAGCAAAGTTCATTTGTGTGGTCACAGCAAGGCTGCCTTGGTCTGTGCTCCCCAAGCACGAATTGGGGCATAAATCTGGAATCACACCCGCCTTGGCTTGGTCATTTCTGGAGCAGTGTCTTTTCCATCAGCAGAAATCACCCCCATCCATCTCCCCCAGCCCTGAGAAGGGCTGTGTTTCCCTGAGTCAGCACRTTGCTCAGCCAGGCACAGCTCGCACGGGCTCACAATCAGGTATCGCTGTGGAGAGCCTTAATAATTAATGGCACTTCTCATCCGATAATGCCCTCAGGAAGGATCAGACCTCACAGGACCCCAGCTGGGATGCACCAGCCCACCTCAGAGCACAGACACACCACGGGGTACAAGGGTCGTGGCAGAGCAAGTGCTGTCGCCTGGGGAGCTCCTGCTGCCCAAGTTATTTATTCATGCCCAGTAATTTTAAATATTCCTCCTGGACAGAGYGATGCCAAGCAGGAGCCGGCTGCAGAACCGGCAGAGGGAGCCCAAAGTACAGCACTGATGGGAAAAGAACCTTGAAAATTTGACAAAGACTACRCAGAGTTGATGTAAAGCTGGGGAGGTCACACAGAGTGCAGTCTCTGGAGCAGGCATCCGATATAATTTTTGATCAATTTGGTTCTGTTCTTTTTTTTGGGGGGGTCCCTCATCCACAGCAGCAAATAAAGCAGATGAAGGAAAATGTTAAAAAAAAATTTAAAAGTATTTTTGTCAAATCAACAATAAGTCATTAAGTAAAACAAGGGGTTTTTATTGCAATGTTGTGGGATGCTGGGCAATCCCAGCAGAAAGAACAGCCCCATCCCAGGGGCAAGGTCTGGGCTGGATTTTCTCTGGGTTCTGTTTCATAAATTGAGAGCAGGGGGAACATTGAGGGGAGAAAAAAAAGAAGAGCAGATTCTCCCTCCTCCTTCACAAAACCCACACACCCAGCTCCAAATCAGTAACACAGCGGATGTGTGCACAGCTTTAGGGACATTATTCCTTCAATACTGGTGGGACATAAGCACACAGAGTTCAGGATAGGAGTGAATGCAGTAATTCAGCCTCAAGGGAATGCAGTAATTCACCCTCAGGGAGCGCAAATCCAGTGCCCACTCATCAGGGCATTCCTTTGCTGCAAACACACAGCCCATGAGGGAATACCAGAGCACAAATTGCACAGAAATACCTGATTTCACGAGCTCTGCCTCTTTGCCGCATTATTTTTAATTATTACCCCTTTCTAAGCTGCTGAATAAATATTACAGAACTGCCTTTCAGCTGGAAGTTTCCAGGAGAATTTGGACTTTGCAGTGAGTGCTTTGGCTGAAGTGGGGCTGTGCAGGCAGTCCCATAAAAGTGCTCCTGTGGATCTCTCCTTCCACTGGAGATGGAAAAGCCATTAGCTCCCCCCTGCCCTCCCACAAGCTGTTCAAGCACAGGTGCCTCGACATTTGCACTCCATCAACATCTGAGTTAGAGACAGTCAAAGAAACAATCCAGGAAAACTGAATACTGCCAATTTACAAAAGTGGGCAATACTAATTAGGTGCTGCCAGTTTTGTCCAGCTCTAATYCTGTTATCTGTGGCAGCAAGCCCCCTTAAGTCAGTGCCAGCACAGTGTATGTTTCCAGGTAAACAGCAGTTAAACAAAAGCTCTTTAAAAGCCCSTGTTTTGTGTTTGTGTAAGTGCAGAGAACAATAGAGCCCCAATTTCTGATACAGGCTGATGAATTCAGGCTCTGCACTCCAGCCTGGGTTAAAGCACTCAGCCTTCACTGCCCTCCTTCAAAGGCGACCTTGCATTTCCATTTCAGCTTTGAGGTGAAGATTTTGGGTACTCSAGGCAGAAAGATGTAGATGAAGGAGATGAGAGCAGAGTGTGCTGAGTGAGAACAGAAAAAACAGAGACAGAGAAGGTAGGTGAATCTAGAACAGAAAAACCACAGACAGAGGTGGGAGGTGAAGTCTAGAACAGAAAAACCACAGACAGAGGTGGGAGGTGAAGTCTGCACCGTTCTGGCCACCAGAGGACATTGTCACCTGTTGAGTTGTCGCAGGTCTGGGAGTGGTTGTTGCACTGGCAGGGCTCACACGTGCTGTGGTTAAACCTGTAGTAGCCCTCACTGCAGCGGTCACACTTCAGGTCCGTGACACCAACTTTGCACTGGCACTGCCCAGAGCTGCAGAGGGAAAAACAAACAGTGAGAGGTGGCTRTGCAGGGAGGCATCCAAAGTAAAACCTGCGGGCAGGGTTTGGGACTCTCTTTCCTCCTTTTCCTCCTCTGCTGGAAGCAGGACATGAACCCCAGGGGCAACCATTTCCAAAAAGTGATCGCAAGTTCAAGAAAAGATGAGTGCCTGCCAAGCTGGTTGCCCTGACAGCAATTTCCAGCTGGGCACCAGAAATCATGGCTCATTCTAGAAAGCCTTGGCCCAGAGCCATCCCCTTGCATCAGCCCCAGCAGATGCTCCCACAGCCCCTCTGCAGCCCCTGCTCTACCGAGCCCCTGCCCCAGATCCTGAAGGACACTGGAAATGGTCACCGTGCCTGAGCAATCCCAAAACACCCACATGGGCCATCCCCTCCCCTCTGCATCAGTTCCCAGCAGCACCTCCCCGATTTTCGGGTGAGCAGACAATTCCCTGCTCACCACCTGCTCTCCTGGCTCCCCTGGGAGCTGGGGCAGCAGCTCAGGTGTCSTGCTTGGCTCCAGCCAGGCCAGGGTCAGCCACCTGCACTGCCTCCACTTCTCCTCCATGATCCCATTTATCCCTCCCACACAGTATCTCCGTGGACACAGCTGATTTCTACCCAGCAAAGCCAGGGAAAGSCAAGAGAGGGTTTTCCCCTCCCTAGCAAAGGTTCCCACTGCAGCTGACCCCAGACAGGAGCTGTTTACTCGGGCACAGTGTGACTGCRGGGAGGGTGGAGACTGCACTGGGAACACAGAGGGCATTGCTGGTGGCTGCCATGAGCAAACAAATACCAGGAGCTATAAAAAGCAAAGGTTACCCTCATTCCTTTGGCTTTCCATGCCACTCTCTCCACACAGAGAGACTTTATACACTGGCAGCATTTAGCTCAACCCTCTGAGGAATCACAGGAATGGATGAAATGCTCCTTCCCAACCAGCCCTGAGCTGGCTCATCCCACCTGCCCAGGGACAGAGAGCACCCAGTGAGCCCTGGGGGGGGGGCCCTGCAGGAACCCCCAGCACTGCTGCTGCAGGAACCAGCACAGCAACCCAAATAAACAGCATTTGGTCCCCTCCAGGTGCTGGATTTATCTGTACCCACGGCAGATGAGGTGACACCACCCACAGACAGCCCTGCACATCTGGATGGCCCTCTTGGTTCTCCCCTGCATCACCACCCYGTTCAAACACCTTTTAAAGTCAGCATTTCAGGGCTTGTTGTGCCTGCACAAACCTCATCCATTGCTCCCCCCTCTCCTCCTGGGAAGAGCAAGGCACAATTTGCTCCTAAAAGCCTCCAGAAAAATCTGCTGATTAAAACTAATAGGTGTTTGATGCASTGTTGATGTGTCGTTTTTAATTAAAATGCAGTAGATTGCAATGTTTCRGGCAAGACATTGCTTCTGTTAGAAATTAGCATAATTCAGTATTTCTGTTGTTTGTTTGTTTGCCAAAGGAAGAAGAACTATCACCAAAATATGGACCTCAGCCCAAGGGGCTACACTATTAAATAGTTGCAGAATCTGAAACCTCGGGCATATCTAACAGCCTGATTACAAGTAGAAGACAGAAATACGATGTTTCCCTGGTCTCCAGGCCATTATCTGGAACTGCAGCGGGCAGATGCAGAATTCAAAGGGATGCTGGTAAGCAGCTCAGTGTGTTTGACTTTTAAAGAGCTTTTCACAAGACCCAACATTAATCCAAACGTTGTCAGAGTGTTTAAAATAAGCGCAAACAAAAAGCAGCTTGTTATTATTTGCTCCTGACTGCTACTGCTATTCCTGTAAGAGGGCAGCGACAGGCAGGGAAAAGCATCTGCTGTGGGGAGGAAAAGCTGATATTTAGCCTGAAAACACATCTTTTGGTCCTTTTTGTAGGACCAGGCATTGGAGCTGCATCATCTTCACCCTCCCTGGCTTCCTCCTGGAGTTCAGGGAGCTCTGTTTCACTCCCTCCTGTCCCTGATCCAGCTTTTTTCTCAAAACCAGCCTCCTCTTCCTCCCTGCTTCCACCCAGACTCATATTTCAGTTCTTTCAAGGTTTATTTCCCCAATGGCCCAGCTTGAGCTCAATGCAGCATTTTGGGGCATTTGATTTTTACTCGTTAGCTTAGAAAAAAAAAAAAAAAAAAACTACAAAAAAAAAAAAAAAAAAAAAAAAAAAGGAAAAAGACTGTTTTGGAAAGTTTGGTTTGAATGGCTCTTGAGCAGACCTTTTCTCAACATGTTACACATGGCATAGAGCCAAGTCCTGCATGTGCAAGAATTAAATCACTCAGCAAATATAAAGCTTTGCCTGTGGTCATTGCTTCCACAGAATAAAGCCCCCTTACAACACTCCTTTTTATAGCTCCAGCCCAGCAAAGTCTGTCAGACACTTTTTAAAGCAAAGGTCAATGATATAAATGCATTGAAACCACCAAAAAAAAAAAAAAATCCTGTTAACAGACCAATTGTGCCCATAAAAATCCAGAAATTTGAAAGAAAAGACCCATAGTTTAATACTTGCACAGTGAGAACTGAACTGGATTTTGAGTATCAGCCAGGAATTTTTTTTTTGGGGGGAAGTGAGGGGAACAAGGGGGAAGGGAAGAGGGAAACGTTTTGATGCAGTAACATCAATTGCTCAACTCCATCTCAGATGATGATTAACCCCTCAGAAGCCAGCCGATGTTTAGCTCTCACAAAGAATTAYAGAAATATGTGTTGGGATAAAACCAGCCTTCCAGTAATCAAACTCTCCTGACAGCATTGGTTTCTACCAGATTTTTATGAATATATCCACTCTGGAGAGCGTGTAGGCAGTGTGTGCATCACCAGCACATCATCCATCAGCTTTACAGATGTTTCCTGCTGATTGAAACCATCAGCAGAAGGAGCAGGCAGTGACTGAACAGGCAGTGATTGCCGGGCAGGGCACAGCCACATCCAAGGTTTGGATCCAGCATGGAATGAGCTCTGGGGGTGAGGGCCACATGCCAGGTTTGGGATCCCCCAAGGCAGGAGCTCGTTCACCTCATCACCCTCATCCCTCAGGATCCCTGCTCTGCCTCGGGAGCAGCTCGATGCCTGCAGGGAGAGCCTGGGGCWGGACCAGGACATGGCCACCCCAGGCAATGGCATTTCCACAGATATGGGGCAGGGTGGTGTCAATAAAAGCAAAATATTGGGCCAGGGGACAGCCTACACCCCATAATATGYCTGCAGAAGCCAGTCTGGGTTCATTTCCAGCCCCCACAGCTCCCTTCCTCTCCTCCCAAAGGGAAAGAGCCACAGGATCCCATCACTTGCCAAGTGATTCGTGCCACTGATGGCACCCAAATGTTCCCTGAGGTGGGTTGGACACAGAACTGCAGCTTTACAGCCAAAGGGACACCCCAGGGACMCCCCAGCCCTCTGGATACTGGGAAGGAGCAGGACTGCAGAAGGTTTTGACCCCACTTGGAATTGTCCCAGGAGCAGAGCACCAAGAACAGGGATCACCCCCTGGAGGCACAGAGCTCCTGTAGGATCTCCTGCCAGCTCTGGGGGCAGAGCGAGGACACAGTGAGGGGCTGGGCTCAGACTCAGGCAATGGCCTCACCTTCACTGCCCAGCACAGCCTGCACAGGAATTCAGGGCTCATCACAAGGGAAAATGCATTAAAGAACCTGTGATGTGAGACAGAGCACAATGTGCAGCCACATCTGCACGGGGCTCCACTCCTCCTCCACAGACACAGCCTGATTTTAACAGGGACACCACAGGCACAAGATGGATGGGAGGATGAAGGACCATGGCCTTAGGGGCTGTTGGGAGACAAGCTGTGAACAGTTAATGGTGTAACAGAAAACCCTCAGCAAGCTCCAATCATTTATTTTCTTCCTTTTCTTTTATTTTCCCCCCAAGGAGGAGGGAAGGGAGAAATTAATTTTGAGTATTTTCCCAGACATCAGCAAACCCTCAATGCCCCAGTCAGGACTGCTTGGCCATGTCAGACCCAGCCAAAACAGCACAGCACCAAGCTCTGATGGCTTTATTTTTAAAACATTTGAGACTGGTAAGATTTTGGGACAAAGTCAGAGGAGAAGGAACTTTCCATGGGTCTCAAACCAGGGCATGCCCTGAGCRTGAGCAGCTCAGAACCCATCCCAGATTTGAGGAAGGGTTTTGTCAMATCCATTTCTCACCTTCACCTGGAAGCCCAGAGCACACACCCACAGCCTGCACAGCTCAGCATCGCCAGGGATGCCCTGGAAAAAGGGAAAGTGAGGGCTCCACCAGGACATCTCCAGCTTCACCTGTGCCCCCTGGAAACCCCCAGGGACAGCAATGCCCCCCACTGATCCCAGCAGGGCCCGAGGAGTCCCTGGAGCAGACACAATTAGCACCAGCTCTGTGTGAATGAGGGAAATCGCATTGAGCTACGAGCAGCTGTAAAACAASCCCCATGAAAAGGCTTTGTCACACTTTGATGGGATAAGACAAAAGGATTCTGCACAAGCTTAGGAGGATTCAGAAGAAATGTCTCTAAAAATGGTGCGTTCCTCCAGCGAGCCAGGCTCCTTTAGGTTTGATTTTCTGTGAAGTCTGACAGCAGCCAGGGGATAAATCTCTCTTACACCTTTCTGGGCAACGTGGGAAAGTTAACATTTGAAAGCYAAATGCTCCAAGACACTTTGCTGGAAAACCAACGCTGTTAATGCTCAGAATCACAGAATCATTTAGGTGGAAAAGGCCTTCAAGATCATCGAGTCCAACCTCTGATCATCACTGGAGCACTGAGTTTGGGGAACACCTCCAGGGATGGGGACTCCAGCACCTCCCTGGGCAGYCCCTTCTAATGCCTCACAACCCTTCCCATGAAAAAAATCTTCCTGATGTCCAACCTGCCCTCCCCTGGCTCAGTTTGAGCCATGTCCTCCCATCCTGGCAATACAAAGAACCCTCCCAGCCCACGTGCTGCCTTTCCTTCAGGTCAGTTATTGGGATATCAGCCTGTGG